CGATCATACCTAAGTATGGAAGTTTATTTCCTCCAGCATCTTCTAAATTCACCAAAGTATCTAATCCTTGCAGCTCACAAACACCTTCAAGGTTATCTCTAAAAAACGATTCACAAATCGTTGATACTTGGGAACCACTGTCCAACAATGCTTGACAGTCCAAATTACCAATTAATACTGGAGCTACATTACTCTTCCCTAATAAACTAACAGGGCTCTTAGTTCCCAAGCCTATTGTCTGCCCTTCGACAAAGACTTCTTGCAGTTTAAATCCTTGTTAAGTCTAACACGACAACCTGTACGGATGTGTCCCTTTTGACAGCACCTAAAACATGTAGGTTCCTCGTGTTCCTGTCTACTGTTACTCTGATCCGGTCTATTATTCTTCAGATCTTTTACATCTTTCTGAAGTGCCTGTACAGTCTGTGTTAAAGATTCATTTCATTGTCTTCTGTTACAGCTTTAATATGATGAGATGCAGATGGTCTTTTTCTCTCCGATGATGACAAATAAACTTCAGATTCAATCTTTCTCACTTCCACCATCAATTCCTCATAATCTTTAATACGATCGTATTTATGCGCAGTTTGCTGTTTAATACTGGCTGTAAGTTCACTCCAAAATCTTGTACGTAACATGTCGTTGGTAGCATCCTGTGAAACATCACCACGATCAACAGCTTTCTGGAGAATATCTTCAAGTCTGCAACCCCATTCCGCAACTGATTCCTTCGGAGTCTGCACCGTAGAGTAAAACTCAGCTAACAGATCTTGTGTCTCCTCAACACGTCCAAAAACACTGTTCAGCTTCTTTAACAGACGATCTAACTCCACCCTGTGTCCTAACCTCATCACTATCTTACCTGCTTCACCACGTAATGACTTAAAGATGGCTTGTCGAATCTGTTCCTTGTTGTAACTTGACTGAACCAACTCCTCAACTTCAAACTTCCAAACGTCAAAAGAAACTTCAGACTTGGATGCTGGATCCCCAGAGAAAAATGACACCTTGGGTAAAGCTGGCAGCATCTTAATGTCTTCCCGTGGTTTATCTCGACTTAACGCGGGTAGATGTTCTTGTGAGGGATGAAGTTCTTCCTTTGTTGTAAAATAATCTTTCATCCATTTCTCAAGGTCTTCTTTACTGGAAGCTTTAGGTTTAACACCCATGGCTAGAAAAGTTTTTAACAAGTTATCAGCTTCTTCAGGGGAAAATGATTCTGCCATTGCACAGCTGAAATAAAAACACTTTTGACCAAAATAATCAAACACCAAATCACAAGTTGATAAAACAAATCCTGAATCCAAAACTCGTAAAATGAAAATAATCAAATTCACAATTCAGTACAAGTGTCAAACAATGAAACATCAACCCAAGAAAAAGGCCAAAATCCCAATAAAAATTAAATAAGTCCAAGTAAACAGTTGAATTCAAGTCACAAGTCAGAGTCAAGTCTAATGTAATGTCAAGTCTAATGTAAAGTCAATGTCTAAGTCAAAATCCCAACAAGCGACAAACTTAAACTCAAAACCAAAACTCAATACAAAAACAAGAGCGCAAACAAAATCAAACTCAATATAAAATCAAATAGAAGTAAAAAAAAAAATGTACACAAAACCAAATCAGATATCAACCCAAAACACAATTTCAAAATCAAAACCTGAAAAATAAATAATCTACACCAGGGGTATCACTGAAGACGAATTAAACAAAGTTCCAATCAGTGACAAATATAAAACAATTTATAAATATATACAAATATTTATACCATATACAAGGGTTGTGAATGCAAAATATGTTAGCGCTGAATATGTGTGTGTTACAATAATGAACAATGTTATTTGAGGGAGAAACTGAAAAAAAATGGAATGAAAGACTGAAAGAAAAGTGAAATAAGTCTGTCCTGAAAAAAAACTAAATAAACAAATCCTATATAAAACCCTAAGTTCAGGTATGTGTGCTCGTGATTCCACCTAATATAACCAACCCAAATACACAAGTACACACCCTTTCACTCTATGATAATTAAGTTTAAAAGTAAAAGTGGAAAATGTATGCAATATTTCATAAGTAGGATAATAAACAAGTATGTAATAAATGAAAATTCAAAGGAAAAAAAATAATTTCACAAATATAATTGTGAAGAAGTTAACTATATAAAATAAAAGAAATAATTAATCAATGAAAAACCTAATACTGAATATGAAGTTCTAATATGTGTATTTGCTATAAAGAATAGTTACAATCAAACTTTGCCCAAATACCAAGTTGTTGACTTTGACCTACTAGTCACAGTGACCTGACTTATATACTAAACAGGAAGTCAACAAAAATGTCAGTGGGTCAAATCCGATTTTAACCAGAAATAATCTATGTAAATAATGAATATATAATCTTTTAGATTATGAAAATAGAAAAACAAAAATTGCAGTATTTTAAATAATATAGTAAATTAAAGTAAAGGTCTACCGAACAAATCAAAAAGAATTTCACAAACACAAGTATGAGATTAACACTGATAATGTCTCTAAAGATCCACCGATGAAACAGCAGCTGTATCCCGCGAACACGAATCTTTAGGCCTCTGGAACTCTGTAGGTACCTTGTCTTCAGAACGTTGGGCGCCAAAATGTAACCGGGGGGGGGGGGGGTGTAAATTCTCAATAAAAACTAAGGTGGTTAGTTCTTAAACCTTTATTAAAAACCCTGAAATATATATACGTTAAAATTAATATACATATCACAGTAACAGTTGAGTACAATAAAATAATAGTAAGGCATGCATATTGGTACTCAATGAAATATATCAATAATTTATACACTAAAATACATCACTAATTAAATTAAACATATTAAACAGGCCTTAAGTTTATACTAAATATAATATAAGTAATTGATAACATACCCAAAGAAGGGTTTTTTTAAATAAGACTATCAAGATGGTGAACAAAATCTTCAGATAACTATATTCTGGAAAATAACATTATTCTGATTATACATACAATATACTTTCAAAACGGTACCTTATAATCTACTATATATATGTATATATGAAAAACTAATGATCTTTACATGTTATTTTCTATCTATTTAAATAAAATGGCTGCTTAATATTACAATTTCTATCATTCCTACATCCGCTCCATCTAAACCCTAATTACCCAAAATAAGAGAATTAGCACACATACCTGTAATACTGAAGTAGTATAACTGGAACAATTCCCTGAAAATAACCTAACTAGATTTGGAAAATAAAGTTAAACAATTTAATTGAAGATATCAAATTGTCCTTACACTTCGAAATCTATCTAATGTCTGATGTCTAAAGTGAGGTTCAGATAAAAAGAAAACTTGCTTGTAACCAAGGGAGTAGAATTGTACTCACCCCAAGATTTGGGCTCTAAGAAAACCCTTTGAATTTGGCATTGTGTTTTCTTATGGCTTTGAGTGTAGAAGAGAGTTTTAGCACCTTCAGAATTTCTTTTAAGAATTTAAACTCAATGGACTCACCTATCCCTTTTAAGGAGGGGTAGGGTCAGCTCAAGGGATCTTGTTCCACAGGAATCTGACCTTCTATCCGTATATATGCATACACCATACCGAACTAGACAATATATAATGAAAAAAGAACAGGAATGCAATGCCTGTCATTGAATCCATGCGCTGAAGTCACACAAAATCAATCCGCAGTGACTAGACCATTGAAACAAGGGCCAAAGATATTTTTAGTTTTTCTCTCCATTTCCATTTTTCCTCGTTTGCATGGCGATTTTTGTTGACTTTTGGGTGTAGAATCGAAGAAGAGGATTTGAATATACTTTTTCTGCCAGGTTTTGGTGAATATTCATGATTTTGAGGCGGAAGTATACAGGACTTCAGAGTTTAGTTAGGTTTTTGTGTGAAGTCAGCGCATGGATTCAATGACAAACGTCAACGAACGAAAATAATGTAAATATTGGAAACAATTGGCTATGATATCGTTTTGTGGGGAGTATTTATGCAAATCAAACGGCTAGATTGAAGAAAAAACATATCTAAGTGAATTGACGGAGGTTTGATTGCCTGACATTATGAATTGTTGAAAAAAAACGAGCCGAAGCGAGAGCAGGTAAAATCGTGGCTTCAACAGGCATTGCATTCCTGTTCTTTTTTTATTATATATTGTCTAGTTTGGTATGGTGTATGCATATATATATACGATTAGAAGGTCCAGGGGCGCCGGAACGGCACGAGGGCCAGGGTACCAAAAGATAGGGGAGTTCCTGGGGAGGGGGGTCACTCCCCCCGCCCTCTAAAATTTTTTGAAATTTGTCAATTCCGAGAACGCTGTTTAGAGCGCCTCTAGCATTCCAAATTCCAACATAAAACCGTTTAAAATACATGATAATGAAAGAAATAAAAGCCTGATTATTCACAATTTTCGTATCATGAGCAATTCTATCATTTACAAATGAATAGACTAGTAAAAAGGTTGAAAACTTTCATCATTAGGGCATGGGTATACATTTATACCCCAGAAAAGGGCAGGGTACCCGGGTTCCAGCGCCCCTGAGAAGGTCAGATTCCTGTGCTTGTTCTTAAGTGGTGCTTTATATACACCTACATATAATGAATTACATAAATAATTTCTTTTCCATTCTGCATTGGTGAAATAACTTTGAGCTTATTAAAATATCTTGTTCAGATGCACTTTACCATAAAATATAACACATGAATAATATAACAATATCAATAAAGAATATAAAACTGATATATATATATAGTTCATGTAAATAAGAAATAAAAACAATTATATTTTATGTTGTCTATATAAAATAATGATTTGTAAAATAATCATGTAAGTGAGTTTTGAGAGCACAGCTTTAATGGCAATGTATAGAAATAGTGTTTATAAAAAAATACACCTGAAGTGTTGTCAAGTTGTTTTGACCATCACTTCATTTTGTATGTCAAATTTTGTATTCAGATGCATCAAATGCTTTGTTTGTTTTTCATTTTAGGTACTGAAGTTCAGTTTGGACTTTTGTCATGACTATACAGATTGTTCTCAGTGTATGGTTAAGGGTAAAGACTTGGAATGTATCTGGGTTAATTCAAAATGTGTGGCACCTCAACCGAATTTGGGCCACAATCACAATTCTTGCCCACCATTAATTGATGGGGTATGTATTATAATGATGGGAATGTAATATTTCTATAAAAACATGTATCATTATTTCTGACTTTATATAAGAAAATGACAGAAATGGATTAAGGCAACAGGATAATTGTACAGGATTAGAATAAAGTTTTTTTAAGAGATCACCACACAGTATTAAAATGTTTGATTTACTAAAATGTATCTCCCTCAGCTAAAGACCCTATGCGCAAGCGAATTATTGAAATAAAATTGAACCATATGTTAATCCCAAAATGACCTAGTTTGTGTTGATTGGACATTAGCCCCATTTCTCTCTCTTGCAACTTAACAAATTTTGTAAAAACAAATTCACTTCCTTCAGTTAATTAGACTATAAAGTCAAGTGTTTTTCAGACAAAAGATCTGTGTTTTCATCAGACAGAAGACTTACTACCGGCCAAGCACGGATATCTAAAAGTATCTCTCACTATAAATCACCACAACCATTCAATTAAATCACCATATACTTTTTTGTAATTTGTATTTTGGCTGTTTTGTCAATTTATCTACTGTTTGTAGTTATCTGTTGAAATGGGTTTTTTGGGGCAGTGAAATAGGCATTGCAAATTAGAGCAGACACAGCATTGAAACAATTTCAATAGATTTAACGATCAAATTTTTTATTATACAGTATTACACAGTATGGTTGCAGACTTTATACTGTAGATAAATCCTGTTATTTTTCAGTATTCTAGGACTTTCTGTTCCACAGATATATTACAAACACAATCTTTGTCTTGAAGGCATCCTATAAAATTTGGTCAACATCCAAGTTTTCCTTTTTGTTAAGCTGCTGTCTATGGCATATTTTCACACTATGCATGGCTATCTTATGTATATATTGGTATATTACAGATTACACCTCTATATGGTCCTATTTCTGGTGGAACTAAATTAACTTTACATGGCAGTAATTTAGGACGTCAGAATGCTACTGTGATTGTTGAAGTTTGTGGCAAGCGATGTGATGTAAACAAACAATTATCAAACAATAACAGGTACAGTAAATACTGAACACATTAATTCAAACCTCATTACTAGATTGTCTTGGGTTGGAATCGCAGCAGGGGTTAACAGAACCTTCCGGATTTTGCAAGCCCAGGGGTGGGCTAGGCTGACATAAAAAGTGTGCTGATTTGTTCAAATGACTTGGGGCCACTCATGTACACATCGATATGCATATAAAAGAGTACTTGACCAAGTCAGTAGAAAGTAAGTAATCTGGGTATCATTTAATCTTGTGTATTTAGCACTAATTTCTTTCATATTCGTTTAGTAATTTGTTTAAAACTTTGTAAAAATCATTTAAAATCACCAAAATTCATCTAATTTGTAATGAGTGTCCAATTTACAAGTTTTTAATTTCTCGATCACTGTTAAAAAATAAACAACCCAATTGGTTATTGATGTATAATGATTAATTTTTGAACTGTGGTCAGGAAATTAGATACTTGTAAATTGGACAGTCATTATCAAAGTTAATCAGTCAGCTACAAACTGGACACATTTGTGTCCCCCGCCATTTGTGTCTGTCCTTCACACTTTTTGGGACACAATAACTCTCTTTCTAATTGAGCTAGAATGTTCAAACTTGGTGTAGGTGTTTATTAGGTCAATACCTTGATGGAGTTCGAAGATGAGCATTTTCTGCTTAGAGTAAGCAGACCTAAGCAATTTGATTGGTTGATGCTTTGGGACACGATAACTTTAGTTCTAATTATGTGAGAGTGATGAAACTTGGTGTATAGTTTCATTACATCAATACCTTGACTAAGTTCGATAATGAGCATTTTCTGCTCAGGGTAAGCAGAGCAATAAGCAATTTCATTGGCCAAGATTTTGGAACACAATAACCCTCCTTCTAATTGAGCTAGAATGTTCAAACTTGGTGTAGGTGTTTATTGGGTCAATGCCTTGATGGAGTTTGAAGATGAGCATTTTCTGCTTAGGGTAAGCAGAGATAAGCAATTTGATTGGTTAATGCTTTGGGACACGACAACTTAAGTGAGAGTGAGGACACTTGGTGTATAGCTTTATTACATCAATACCTTGACTAAGTTCGATAATGAAATTTTCTGCTGAGGGTAAGCAGAGCGATAAGCAATTTGATTGGTTGAGACTTTGGAACACACTAACTCTCCTTCTAATTGTGGTAGAATGTTCAAACTTGGTGTAGGCATTCATTAGCTGAATCCCCTGATGGAGTTTAATGATGAACATTGTCTGCTTACGGTAGGCAGAGATAAGCAGTCTGATTGGTTGATGCTTTAGGGGCATAATAACTTTGGTTATAATGAAAGGAGAGCGATGAAACTCTGAATATAGATTCATTATATCATTACCTTGACTAAGTTCGATTGTGCGAATTTTCTGCCTGGGCTAAGGAGCGATAAGCAATTTGATTGGTCAAGACTTTGGAACATAAAAACTCTGCTTTTAATTGAGGTAGAATGTTTAAACCTGATGTAGATGTTCATTAGGTGAATGTCTTGACTGATTTCAATGATTAACATTTCAAGCTAAAGCTAAGCAGAGCTAATTAATTTCATTGGCCGATGCTTTGGGACAAGATAATCTTGATTCTATCTGATAGAGAGTGATGAAACTTAGTGTGTAGTTTGATTGCTCGATACCTTTGAAAAAAATAAATGTGTGATTAATTAATATTTGTCATCTATTTATTTTGGGATTTCGGTGGGGGACATCAGCCTCACTGTTGGCTTGTTTTTATTGTCTGTAAATACTATACAGGTTGCAATTATGAACAAAATATGTGAAAATTCAGCATATTAATCATTTCAATAACAGGGTTGTACCTATTTATATTGTTCTATCTCCTCCACCAGGGGCAGAGCCATGCCCAATTTTTGTGTTTATTGTGTACAGGCTGCAATTTTGAATGGATCATCTTGGAACTTTGCATATTTATTCCTTATATTTATTTTGGTGCATGCCCCGACCCCCTGGGGTGGTGTCATACCCACTTTTTTCTTAATATTTAGTTTGTAAATTTGGCAAAACAAACCCAACGCTACAATATCAATCAAAGCAGGAATGTGGAAGTATATTGCAGTGGTACCAATTCTCTATTTAAATTAAATCATTAAATGGACGAACTGTTCTAATCTTAAAGCCTATTAAGACATGCAATAGGCAGATTAAGCTCTTGCTTAACTTTAAGATACCTCCCATAGGTCACTTAAAGTTAAATGAATATTTTTCACTTAATCTGGCTTTTGAATACCACTAAAAGACTAAACACTTAAAGTTTGGGCTACTTATTTTAAGAGAAACTTTGATACATAACATTGCCTTTCAATACTGCTTAACCCTTTCACTGCGTATACCCGGTAGTACCGGGTATTATAAAATGTCGGTAAAATGCCCGTACCCGGTATTACCGTGTACTCAGTAAAGCCCTCGCTAAAATTAGTACCGTAACTGCAAGTGCCATCTATTGTATTTTCTATACACTAGAACATATTTCCACGTGTTTCAAAGCAGCAAACCGTAAAATGGCGGAGTGCATTGTGACAACGTAGACGATGCACTCTCGACGAAGTCGTGAATGACGTCTTGCTGACCAACATGTGGACAATTTCGAGGCGGGTGATACACATAATTCGTTTCCAGTTACTTGATAATGATAGTAGTCAGGACAGTGATTGGTATTATGAAGTGTGTGATTTGTTGCGCGACGTTCCGCCCATGGCTAGCTATGTCTCCCGTGCATGATGAACAAGCCCAATGTGAACACGATAGCCCTGTGTCTGCAGTAGATTCTGACAATAATTCTGATGTTGATAATAATGCTGGCCTGCTGGATCGTAAAATACGTAGGTAATTCCTGATTCCCGAACGTGTAGATCTATTGACTGACTATATTGATAATGATATGGGACTTGGGGATGAAAGTGAAAGTGAAAGTAAAAACAAGGTATTGCAATCCGCACGTGGTCATGGCAGCGGGAGACGTGATGCACGTGTTCGCGGCGGCATTGCTCATGGCTGCTATTGATATTTTTGTTCATTTTATATATCTTTATCAAAATCCAGTAAAAAAAACAATATCTTTTAAGTATTTCATGGAGAAAAATTCGTTTTCGTGTTAGCTTTAGTGTGCAATGAGAAATCCAAAATGGCCGCCATGACGTCACGTGACTACATTATTATGCAAATTTCCAAAATTCTATTTTTTCCTCTTAGCCCAACCTCATGCCCATCCCAACAGACAAAAAGATTTTTCATAAAAGCTTCCATAAGTACTGCTTGGCATTCAGTTCCAACCTCCCTTTTTTCCTCAAAAAAGGGTCTAGCACAGGCAGTGGATTTACGTCTAGCATTGAAAGGGTTAAACCTTAATTTACAGCTAGTTACATTGAGAACTAAGTAAGGGTTGATCTGTATGTGTAGGCTATAGAAATCTCTGTCTAGGGTGTTATTTGTACGTCTATTAAAAGAATATCCCGATTATTACTTGGCATTACCATGTTGAAATTGTAAATAAGGTGCATTAAATAACAAGCATGAGAAATTAACTGAGAGGTGATTTAATTAATGCTAGGGGTGAAAAACTGTGTGACAGTTCCTTTTTTGCAGAGATGTTTTACATAACCGATAAGTTAAAATCTAATGTCAATGGTGTGTATTGTTTAATTGGTGTGTTTTCTCTATAGTTGCGATAACTGCACCAAAAGGGTGTAATCAAGGACCAGCAGGCTTTATCTGACATGTATGTGTAAAATCAAAATTTTGGACTGTGTTTTACGCAGGTCTTTGTAAAATTAACTATATGCTGTATGCTTGATGTTTCTCGTATGCGTCTTTTGTATTTTTATCAGAGACTGTACACGGTTTATACTGTGCACCATACAGTCAGGCTACTTATAAATAAACGTGCATTTAATAAAGTAAATATATGGACCTTAGTCTATCATACAAAATTGTGAATGCATTTATAAATATCAAACAAGTAGGCCCCAATTTGAATATTCCCGGCTCTATAGCGAATAAGCCAAATTTGCAGTATGTAAATATACTTTCTGGTCTTCCGACAAGTTATTGTTGGTATCTTCAAATTTGTACAATATAACCCGATTTCTGATAAAAAAAAATATAATTCAAAATCAACCTGACCATTTCAGACTCCATGTCGCACAGTTTCATGCATAGTCCATGCAGAGCATGGGGTCAACAATTTCAGTAACGGATCCTTGATCAAAGTAACAATTCTATTTATTTATACAGGGTTCATATTGGAAAACTGTTGATGTCAAGGCGACTACAGTTCGGTTGATTTATTTGAAAAGATACTGCTATGAAACTATAAAAATTGGTCAATTTTTTCTTTGAAAATTCTGATAAATTGTTAGCTCTTTTGGAAGCATTAATCATATCGCTTACCCTGTTTGTGTATGGTACGTTTTTATAATAGCTAGCAGATAATTTATAATGTCTGAATACTTTCTGAAAGATCATGTAACTTGTTAGATGTTAGTTTTTAATAGGCCATTTTTTTTATGATAGTCGGATTATGATATCAAATATAAATCACATTAAATAGATGAATAGTGCAATGTAGATTTGAAACAAACAGCATTGCAATTTTATACAGGAATACATTTTCCTGTTCCCCAATCCATTTTGATATTTTATTAAAATTCACATTTCATTACCTTTCTCAGACTTTAGACAGTTACGTTTCAAACCGGTACGGAGAAGTAATTCAAATCTAATATCACCATCAGAGAAGATTTTTGCAAATAAAGGGGGCAAAGTAATAATAATAATACTATAAATTTAAATTTTCTTAATGTTCATACATTATAGTTTAAAAAAGAATATTGATACACTATATTAGTAGGTTCATCACAACAACTCTTAAAATCACCATTGGTAATTCAGAAATAAATTTTTCCAAAAATGTTCAAAACCTTGGAGTCATATTTGATCCTTCTCTGACAATGGACGCTCAGGTTGATATGGTATGCCGTACATG